TATGATCTTGAGAAGTTGTTAGCCCTTTGTGACTTGTTTTATTGTGAGTCATTGATCGTGAAGAATTCTCGTATCTACTTTCGTTTCCTTTAAAACGACTTTAAATTTAGAAGTAAATATCTTTTTATTTTAGTTTTAATTTGCGTATATTATCAACTATCAGTGCGAACCGGTCTGCGTAGATAAATTTTGAACTTTCTTTTAGAGCAGGCTGAGCAACGCCTGGTGACTCTCGTTGACAGCTTAATTCTCCGTCGTACGAAGACAGACGTCTCAAAAGTGACCGGAAAGCCATTGGTAAGTGAGCTGTTACTGAATAGAAATGCTGTGTATGCAACAATCGTACTATCACACAAAAGTTTCACATTCAACCGCAAATTATCTGGCAGGAAACCAGAGGTAAACTATAGTTGATGGTGTGGACATTCTGCCCATGTGTAGTTTATGACAAGTACCTTTTCAGTGTTGTTGTCCTCAGCCTGAAAGTACACGATGTCGAATAGCATGCTGTTGTTCTCGATTGAATCAAATCGATCACAGAGTTTTTGAGATCGTTTAGTCTCTGGACTGACGAACTCGCCGTCAGGAGATCGCGGTTTCGAATCGCAATCAGACACTTTTCTTTTCTTTCATCATCATTCGGAGTAGATAAACGAGTACTTTTTCTGCACATACATTAACCTTATAACTAGGCTGTACTTAAATACTCATCTAGATATAGACAATATTGCCTTCATCATTAAGGTACTCATACTTGATGTCATCGAAACTAGGATCAGCGCGGCACGTTTATCTTCATGGTAAAGAAAGTGCCTCAAATGGCGCACGTCGCGGACGTACGATGGAGATCAACATCCCAGTTTTGTTAAAGAACTGTACTTTATTCGGTTGTTTGACGGATAAATACGCGGCAGCAAAATTATTTCTGTTCACGTTTTCGGAATATTTTTCTGTTAGGTAGATCCAGATTCAGACGTTGCTGTAGCGATTAGTTTTCTGGGACATCGTTGCAAGTCGGTAGTTAAGTAGTTGCCTTGATATGTTCCTTTCATTGGTATGTGGTCGATTGTTTTTGGGGTTTTTGAAGCACGTTGTATCTTACCTCATTATTTCGTGTCACGTTGCAGAAGATTCAATGAAAAATGTTTTTGTTTCCTGTTTCCTTCCAACTTTAAATTCAACTTTAATTTTACATTAAATTGAATGAGATATTTGTGCATTTCTGAATATCTTCTTTTGTACGAACCCGTATTTGCAAATTTAGTTTATCCGGTAGCATATTCGAAGTACCAGTTTATGAAACATCGTTGGTGATAAGCACCAGGTGGTTGTAGCGCAAAAATGATTCGAAATGCTTCTGAAAGTACAAGTGATCAAGTACCGTGGAGCTGTGGCCTGCTTAAGTTCTCATCCCTATGCGACTACGAGTGAAGAAACGGTGCAATACACCGAAAAATTTGGTCGTGGATATGTTACGCTTTCTCTTATGTTAGTTTAGGAATTATGATTCGGTAGAACAATTAAGTACTTTTGTTCGAAAACTGAAAATTTGACCGTAAGAAGGAGTTTTGACCTCTTCCCAAGTTTTTTGCAAATATGTGTGCACGTCTTTTCCATCATCTATTCTTGCGATGATGGTAACTAAACCCTCACATTCAAAATTGATTTTTTTTTCCTGCGGTACGTGTAGCTCAAGATACAATAGAAACAGTAATATGCAGTAAAACAGTATTCAGTTTGTTTAGGTACCTGCAGCGAATTGTTTTCTCTCTCATCATTTGATTTAAAGCATTTCGATGTTCGTCGCAGTGTTGATTCCGTTGCAGTTCTTTTGTAAAAACAAACAGAATCGCTCTCCGTAATAAGTTAGCAGGGACTAACGACCCCGGAATGTTTCACGGCGTATGACGCTGTATATTTTGGTATATGAAATTATATATTTCGTAGAGGGGAACTACTCAATGTTCGAAAATTTCGTTGTACCACAAAAATTAGTTGATTCTTGTTCATAATTAACAGGCATCACTGTTGCCTAGTCTCATGCCCACTCTCGGTATCGTCGTCGCATCCGTCTTCTCTCTTTTAACTGATCGTCCAGCCTGACCTAGATTTTCCAACTGGATGCTTGCAGCTCCTTGGATATGAATCCGTCAGTGCGGAAGTCGATCGATCGTACGTCAGTCGTACGATGTTGTCCTCCGTAGTTTGACTCGAGCTGCAGGCAAGGGACTGAGAGCAGTGTTTGTTTCTGCTCTCCATTTCGCTTGATCCTCTCTTATAGTTATGGCTGTTGTCCGGCTGTCTGGACAGAACGTCTGCCATTCACACCAGCGGAATGAGCATTCTAGATGACTGCTGTGTTAGGTACGACCCTCTGATAGTTTTCTTCGGTAAGCGATGGGACAGCTTCTTTTTCTCCGCTGATTTCTTCTCCGCGGATAAGAATTGTTCTGTCATCTCACGGAGGTATCTTGAGCTGTTTGATTTCAAATTGAAGGTGATGAGGAAAATTCAGATTTTCTAAAACCTAGTTGACTGCTCATTTGCAAAAAAATCAACGTCTATGAAACGAGATTACAAATATGACGCATCAGTCATAATGTATTAAATTCATTTCTATCAGATTTATAGAAAAATTTGCTTCAAGGAACACACGGATGAAATTAGCAGTACATTCTCGACGCAACTCTGATCCGCGGCGCAGATCAACCTTC